GACCCAGAACCCTCTGGTCCCGGTTCCCCCGGGACTCCAACCCAGAACCCTCTGGTCCTGGTTCCCCCGGGACTCCAACCCAGAACCCTCTGGTCCTGGTTGCCCGGGTCTTGAGCTCCTGGAGGAGCTCCACATGGACGTGTCCTCGGCTTGGCATGTTGACCATCTTCTCACTACTGCCACCTAGCGGTGGTAGTGGAATACGGCCTCCAGCCTCTGGTTAGACCAGGGAGGTCTTACAGTTTGGTGAGGGTCTGTTTACTCCATTAAAGAGCTGTGAGGCGGCGTTGGTGCGTTCGCTGCCTTTGTTCTACTGTCTTTACTGTTTCTATGGTCAGAAAATGCCTCCATTCAAACTTCATGTTAAATAATTTCCAGCCTGTCGCTCTGCTCTAATAAATCCTGATCTAACCAGCATTCAGAGGGCTGAAGACAGAGTCTGGGTGGAGGGTTTAGCTGCACCGTCTACGGCAGGAAGTTAGACGACAACGTTTATGTTTCTGCATTTAGACGCTTTCAAAGTAGACACAATTTTACAGTTATCATCAATATGACAATAAGTTCTCTGGAGGAGAACCCCCAGTCAGTCAGTGGTTGTGTCAGTTTTGTGGCTTTTAAAGTTGTTTTTTGGGGGCTTTTAAAGCTGCTTTTTGATGCTTTTAAAACAGTTTTTTGCAGCTTTAAAACTTTTTTGAGGACTTTTATGTGTTTTCTCCAAAGCGACTTACAAAGTAGACACAATCTTACAGCTATCATCAGTCTGACAATCAGCTCTCTGGAGGAAAATCCTGTTTGTGATGCTTTTAAAGCTGTTTTGGAGGTTTAAAACTTTTTGGGGGGGACTTTCAAAGCATTTTTTTTAGCTTTAAAGCGGTTTTTAGGGGCTATGGGACTTCAGGATGATGTTGGATTTGTACAGATGTTGCTCGGGGGCCTGGCCTGTTTCCTTCATCTTGGCATTGACTTGTTGGCGAGTTATCGCTGATTAATCCAGAATTAGTCCAAGCCTGTCCCCCCATGAGGGCCAGGACTTTGTAAGACTGCTGTCCACAGTCATTGGGGCTCTAAATGAGAGGTGGTGTCCCTGTCCTGTTACCCAGTGGTCCCCAACCCCTGGTCCGTGGACCGGTACCGGGCCGCCGGACGCCCAAGTAATAATCAATTGTTTCCATTGTATTTACTCTCCGAGTCTGAATAATCTTTTATTTTGTGAAATCTTTTATTTTGAAAAATGACCGGATCCTCTGGGTTACATCTCGGTCACCTGAGCGCCCAAAATTGATCCCACAAGTTAGAAAAAGGAGTAAAAACAGAGGTGTTCTGAAAGTTTCTTTAGAAGGGAAAAGGCCCAAAGAAGAGACTCCAGAAAATAAAAGCTTTACCAGACCAAACCAGGAGTTCTACTGGACACATGGACCTGTTCCCACAGACCCAGAACACTCTGAGTCCTTTAGATAGAATCTAGATTCAGAATATATGCGGCCAGCGGCTCTCTGATGAGAACACCAAGCTTCAGACTGTTTTGCAAGGACAAAAATCATAAAACTTGACCCTGGGTGACCACTGCTGTAACCTGTATCCTTTAAAGCAGCCGGTGAGCCTCGGCCCCCCTCAGCCTGAAGTAGTTTGTGATGAAAAGCTGCTCCTGAGTTCTCTCAAGGTTGTGCTGCAGAGAGGGGAAGCATTGTGTCCCGGGACAGAAAACTTTGTCTCCGTGGCCAACTTCTCGTGCACTAATGTGAGGCAGGTCTGTTTCATCACGGCTAAATTACAGCGGATATTACCCGCAGACTCCCCGTTTAATTAGCGTCGGTCGCAGGCTGCCGCTCGGCGTGGGCGGGGCCTCCTGGCGCTGGAGGTCACGCTGACCGTGGCGCTGCCTCCGTATCATGTCTTATGGGAAGTGTTTCCCTCTGAGTGGGGCACCCAGATTGAAACGAGCAGTGGAAATTCCATTGTGCGATCGATCGGTGGTCATGAATGCTTTTCACCGCGATCAATCAGGGATTGAGGGCAGTGGGGAGGGGGGGGGAGGAGTAGGCCCCCAATGTGAGGAGCAGCTGAAGCTGTAAGCAGAAGGTCGTCGTTGGGGGGGGGGGGCAGCAGCAGCCATGGGCGGGAAGCTCTGGCTGTGCTGGGCAGGAGGTCCTGGATCAGCAACACGCTCACTCTGTATCGACCCCCCAGAGGGGAGCCGGGACAGAGCAGCCTCATTCAGCCAGAGCGGCAGAAAGGTTCTGCGCTCCAATACGACAGGCCTGTTAGCAGGACTGCTAGCAGGACTGTTAGCTCCTGGACAGGTCTGTTAGCAGGTCTGCTAGCTCCTGGACAGGTCTGTTAGCAGGTCTGTTAGCTCCTGGACAGGTCTTCTAGCTCCTGGACAGGTCTGTTAGCAGGTCTGTTAGCTCCTGGACAGGTCTGATAATAGGTCTGTTAGCAGGACCTCGGGTCCTGGAAAGGTCTGTTACTTCCTGGACAGGTCTGTTAGCTCCTGGACAGGTCTGTTAGCAGGTCTGTTAGCTCCTGGACAGGTCTTCTAGCTCCTGGACAGGTCTGTTAGCAGGTCTGTTAGCTCCTGGACAGGTCTGTTAGCTCCTGGACAGGTCTGCTAGCTCCTGGACAGGTCTGTTAGCTCCTGGACAGGTCTACTAGCTCCTCGACAGGTCTGTTAGCTCCTGGACAGGTCTGTTAGCAGGTCTGTTAGCTCCTGGACAAGTGTGTTAACTCCTGGACAGGTCTGTTAGCAGGTCTGTGGGTCTTTCTCTGGTTAAAGGTGCTGGTGTCCTAAATCTAGTTTGTGTGGGTGTGTCCACCCAGCACACACTGCACACTGTTCTGTCCTCAGCTCCATCAAGAGGGTCATTTTCTCTCCGGGCTTCGGTTGTGTACAGCAAAGCCGTGTGTGTCTGAGGGTCTGATTGTTTGCTGTCTCAGACGTGTTGTGCTGGTTTAGCCATAGCTTAATTGGACTTCTAGAGATCTGGGACCAGCAGACGTGGTCCTCTGGGAGCAGAAGCTGGAGCGTCATTGAGAATAGGTCCAAGACCAGGTTGAGGACTAGGACCAGGACTCTGAGTCCAGGAACAGGTCCAGGACCAGATCCAGGAACAGGTCCAGGACCAGGTCTAGCGGGAGGGAAATTGGATCAAATGTTCAACTCCACACTTGAGTCATAGAAAAAATATCTAAAATATAAAAATTAAATAGTCTAAGTTGGTGTAGGTATCCTGTGTAAAGTCAGAGTGAGTTAGGGCTGGTCCTGTATCTCAGTCTCCACCTCTACCTCCGTTCTTCAGTCTCTGAGCTAAAGGGCCAATAAAACCCTTTTATTGATTAGTTTTCTGTAACATTCAGACCCCGGCCGGCTTTGCGTGCACACTCTGTGCTCAGAAACAGGAAGGACACGTCCGGCCGGGCCTCTGGCCTTCAGCAGGAGGAGCCCTTTGTCTCTGCTTTACAGCAGTTTTAACACAGGCCCAGTGCTGGGCGTCCTGCTTATTCCCACATTCACATGCGTCACACAGGGCCTGCTGTCAGAAATAGCTCAGCAACTGCCCCCCCCGTGAGAGCATGACGTCCAGTAATTAAGCCGAGAGCACAGCAGAGTTCTGGGCCTTCATCTGGAGGTGGAATCACCAGAACAAACAAACAAACCAGGGACCTTATGGAGTTGATCTGTTTCAGTTTATCTCCAATTCCATTGTCCGGTGTAAAATCTAATGTAGAAACTCATCACATGTTGGAAGGGAGACTTCTGACTTTCAGAGAACTTTAACTTGATGGTAAAACATCTGGGTTAGGGTTCCAGGAACTCTGTTGGATTTCCACTCTGAGCTTTTTTTGGAGCTGTGGTTGAGCGGCTTTGGGGGGGGGGGGGGGACGGAAACGGGTATTAACAGTGGACCGAAAAACAAAATAATCTAATCCCACAAGACGGCTTGCAGAAGAGTCTGTTCAAATGTGGATTCCCCCGATCACGTGCGCTCTGCCTGTGCACTGGCAGGAGTCTAGCGTGGAGACGGGTCAGCGGGCCGCAGAGGGCCAGAAACGGCCGCTACTGCCCGGGGAGAGGAGGAACGTAGTACCGTCAATTAAGAGGTGCTTCTGGAAATCAAAGGAGAATTAAGTAACTGTTTTTAACTTAATAAAAGCAGGTAAACGTCACCAGAACTGAAAGATGCTGGACTGTTTGGTAGTGGAAACGCCAGACTCTGAACATCTATACACCAAGTAGAAGTACATGTATAACCACACACAGATATAAAAAATATATCTGTCCCCATCCAGCTTTCTGATCCGATCCCGGCCTATCAGAGCTTGTACTAAAGTCTAAAGTTATTTATCAACTTCCTTAGTTGTCAGGCTCATGTTGAACAGGGATTTACTCTGATAACAACTAGCCATCTGAATTAGGGGAGTCTGAAAAATAATAATAGTTTATTCAGGGAGAAACACTAAATAGACCAAATTATAGGTAAATAATGGAAATGGCATCAGTGAACAGTAAAAAGTGACAATAATATTGTAAACTGTGTTAAAAAGGCAAAACACACAAACAACTTTTAGTCGGTGTGGTGGAAAACACGGATCAGACTTTAAAAACTGGATCTGGAGTCTGGATCTGCCGGCCGATACGCATTTTTTTCGGAATACCGGCGGGCGATCAGATCCAGATATGGGATCGGGACCAGCCTAATGTTGACATCCCTTTCTCACATGATAGCACCCCCCCCTCTGGCTGTATGAATGGGTATGGCTGCGATACTGGGAGGAAAACAAAGACATGTCTGGATAAAACCCGCCAAGGCTAACAGCCCACAGGACTCAGACCTGTCAGACCTGGACCTCTAAGCCGGCCAGATTTCTGACCCTTCTCCACAGGATTTCTCACTGGTGTGAGAGTCTCATGGATCAGGAGTTTCAGCTCCTGGTGGTTCTCACATGGGGTGAGGTCAGATCTCATATCGAGTTTAATAGAGAGAACAGAGATCGTGACCTTTGACCCCTAGGATTTGGGGCGGTCTGAGCTGGAGCTGTGAGGATGCTTTAAGGGAAAGCAGCTCTGGACTGTTGAACAGCCTCTGATAACCGTTTGTTTAAAGTAGGTCCAAACCTTTGGATCCAGGCCTCTGACAGACGGCCGTGCTGGTTTTAGAGGAGCCAGGTGGACCGGGCCGCCCGCCTCCTTAAAGCACACAATGAGTCCTTGTGTCTCCGGTTTTCCCTCAATAACTTCAGAAAGCCAATGTTCCCAGATCGTAAGGCTTCACCTTGAGCTGACAAAGAGAGGTTTGTTTGTGTCCCTGTGCACGTGTTGACGGGCCCCGCTCTGCCGTTTGGAAGTCATTAGCTCTGACGTCAGCCTCAGGCCGCATCATGGAAAACCTGCTCACTGTTCACAACCTGGAGCTGACATGAGAAGAAGTTAGATTCCGATTATTTATTTTCCCCAAAATGTTCGATTTTGATCTTATGTCCCGATATGAACAAAATCACTTTTTTTATTTTCTGTAGAATTACAAATGTAATAAACAAAAATAGCTTAACAGTCTTATATGCTGAAGCAAATTGCTGGTGCTTCCTGTTTTAGTAGCTACATTCCTTCTACAGAGCTTGTGTTTTACTTTGCTGTTCGTCCCACTTCAAACACCCAAAGTTGCTCTTCTCAGGCCCTTCTTTCCACCATGTTGTCCTTCTCCTGGGCAGTGTTTTCACCTGGTTCCTGTTCAGAGCTCCGTCTACAGAGTTCTGGCTCATTTCTAAAGTCTTTCACCGTGAGAAATGAGGAAGTCTTAGTTGTGAGACTGTTTCCTTTCTTCCATTCAGAGGGGGTTCAGAGGTGTTTAGTTGAAGCTGTATTTTCTAATCCAGAAGAGATCATATTTAGAACATTATTTTATTTTATTTCTGTATTCTAAAGGAGGGCTATCATTTAGTTCCTGGTTGTTAGAGATTGTGTTTTACCACCAACGTTCTTTTGGTTCATGAACATCTGAGAAGCCTGTCTGGAGCCTCCTGTTTGGGAAACAGAACATGGCCACCTAGCCTGACAGCTTTAGTCCAGCTCAGTAAAGAAAGGGAAGAAATAAAGTAGCAGGCATGTTTCTGCTCATTCATTATTCATCTCCAGTTTTATCATTTCACTGCACGTCAGTGTGCATGTGGGGCTGGAGGAGCAGTTTGCCCCCATGCAGCAGCCCTCTGGGGGGGGGGGTCCAGGCCACAAAGCCCTGCTCCAGATGTGGAGTCTGCAGCAGCCCCATGGCACACAGAGGTTGCATAATGACCTGGCATCCCTCCTTTGTCCAGCTGATTGGGAACTTTGTTCCAGGGCCGGATTAAAGCCCATGTGATGTCCTGCTCTGGAGTATTTTAGACTCACCAGTCAAACCGGACATCTTTGTGTCGCTACGGGACAAGGTCACTGTACTCCGTCCTCAAGCTGCTGGGTTTCCACACAGAAGATGGCAGACGGTCCATTTGATGGGATGGGAGTGTGACTCATGCTGCTTTATTGGCTGTTAGGAAAGGAATTCCCTTTCATTTCCTGCTGTGTCCCAAACGCCCGGGCCGGCTGGCATCTGGTGGAGGGATTCCAGCACATCTCACTCAGACTCAACTTTAGTTATCGAATTCTGGTTCCAGTAGCTTATGTAGAGGGTCAAATGTAAAAAAAACAGACAATATAAACTGAGTGGATATGGTACAAAAGAGCATAAGAAAAGTTGTAATGTCCTGAAACTTGTTTCCTTTAGATAGAAAATATCCCCTTTTTTTTTTTTTGTCCCTGGATTATGTTTTGACCCTGTTTCCAGCTCCAGTTGACAGTAAAGATCACCTGAAGGGACCTCACAGATCAGAATCCCTCAGAAACCCCCCCTCTGCCTCCCCTCCAGCCCCCCCTCCCCCTGAATTCTACTCATGGATGTGACATAAAGCACCTCCCTGCTGGTCTCAGAAGTTGGCTGATCTTTGGGTGCCTCTAATGAGAATCGGGCCTTGCCTCCATCACGTCCCTGTGATCATTATTTGTCGTCTTAGACTGTAGACTTCAGATCAAATGCACACACACACACACACACACACACACACACAGACTCACACAGACACACACACAGAGCAAAGGGGCTGTGACAGGCTGTGTGTCACCAGCATAAAGGCCCTTCAGGCAGGCGTGCGGCCGCCTCTCTGGTGGGCCTCAGTCGGCTGGACTCCCTCCGTTTAGAGATGGAGTTGAGACAGATGCATCATGGGAGCTGCATTCCCAGACTCACTGTAAATAACCGGTTCAGAAACGGTCCTGGGGCTGTTTTAGAGCCAGTCCACGCGCTGCTCTGGTGGGCTGAGCCCCCCCTCCAGAGGACGCGGACCTGGAGGGCCTGAGCACAGCATGGCTAATCGATGGCCATGACCCAGTAAAACGCACCGGGAAGGAAGATCCATTCGGCTAAGGTCACTCATATGTTCACATGTTCTGATGGAGATCATTTCTGTATGGTTGGCTCCTGAAGACGACCTTATTTCTCTAATCTCTGCGTGTTTTAGAGGCTGTTGTGTAACCACCCAGGTCGCCGAACGGCCATTATCCTACACACAGAGAACATATAGACGTCTGCTAGCTGGGGGTCGTATTGACCTGTGGAAGCATGTCGATATCCATCGGAACTCCCATTCAGAAGCTGTTTGGAACTCAATTAGACACAGAAAACGAGCGGCTCTGCAAACAGTGGCTCCACTTTTTCCTCCTTTCTGTGCTCAGACCAGTTCAGACAAACGGAGCCTGAAATCTGACTGAATGTCTCTAAATTTCCGTCCAGTTTCTGTCACGGTTTTGGGCGCTTAACTAGTCCCGCACGGTTCGAGGGATCGGCCCCAAAATCGGCATGTGGGTCCGAAACGACCTGGGAATGCGTGCTTGAATACAACTTTCTCATCTGTCCGGGCATTTTCAAATTAACTGCTTAAAAGGCGAAATGCCGTCCCGTAGGAAATTAATGGGAAGGCCTAAAGCGGGCCCAAAACACGCCCCACTTCCGGGCCTAACCGCTCGGCCCCACGACCTCCAAGAAACCTCATTCGAACAGTGAACGGGTCACGAAAGACAAGCCTCCACCATAATGGAGCCATAAGGTTACCGCCCTCGCTCCACCAGCCCGCCGAACGGCCATTATCCTACACGCATAGCATGTATAGAGGTCTGTTAGCTGGGGGTCGTATTGACCTGTGGAGGCATGTCGATATCCATCGGAACTCCCATTCAGAAGCTGTTTGGGACTCAATCAGACTCAGAAAAAGAGCGGCTCTTCAAACTGTGGCTCCACTGTTTCCTCCTTTCTGTGCTCAGACCAGATCAAAAAGAGCCTGAAATCTGACTGAATGCCTCTAAAGTCCCGTCCTGATTTTCAGCGCGTAACTAGTCCCGCACGGTTCGGCGGATCAGGCCCAAAATTGCCACGCAGGTCCCACCCGACCAGGGGACGTTTGCTTGTATACAACTTTCTCATTAGTCCGGGCGTTTTCTAATAAACGGCAAAACGCCGTCCCATTGGATTCGCGAGGCCCGATCTCACACGGTTTGGGGATCTTGGGGCAGGCAGCAGGTGGACCCCCTTAAAATTTCTTTAGAAATGTTCAAGTCGAGGGTTGCTGTCCAGACATCATCCAGCTGTCAGAGGATGAGGATGTTTCTCTGCTCTCCTCACACAAAGAGAGATGGATACCGGTGGGCCTCAGAGGAAATTCCCAAATGAATCCAGCCCAGTAAAACCCAACCAAAGCGGAGCCCCTGTCCCTGTAACTCTCTCTGCTTATGAACTGTCCCACAACAGCCCATCTCTGCTCAGTGCCTGTTACAGGAAGGCTTCAGCTCCCGGGGGACAGTGTCTGGTCCACCTTTAATCATGGCTGTGTTTTCTCTTCTTCTTAGGAGCCGTTTGAGGACGGCTTTGCCAACGGCGATGAGCTGACCCCCGCTGAGGAGGCTGCTGCCAAGGAGGCGGCCGAGTCCAAAGGAGTGGTCAAGTTTGGCTGGATAAAGGGGGTGCTGGTGAGTGGCTCCCTGCTCCTCATTATCTGGACGTGACTTGGCTCAGGAGTCCAGTCGGATGGGCTGGAAGTCGTCAGCCCGTTTGTTGTGACGGGAGAAGAGCCCCCTTCCTTCTCTAGTATAAACTTCTCATAATTCCCAGTGTCCTGCTTCCTCGTGGCTTCTATCAAGTGGCCATCGGTTATTTTAGGACAAAATTCAATCTTTGTCTGTGCACCGTACAGAGGGGGGGGGCTGAGCCTGCTGTTAGCGTTGCTGAATCTGTGGGATGGATTCTGGGTTTGTGTCACTTCTCAAACACTGTCCTGAAGCTGAGAGCCTGTGAAGGATGTGGACATGTCCCCCTGTCTGGCCGTCCTCAATAACAGATTTCTCCTCTGCAGGTCCGCTGCATGTTGAACATTTGGGGGGTGATGCTTTTCATCCGCATGACATGGATTGTGGGTCAGGCTGGGATTGGTAAGTAGACCTGAAAAAGGCCCGTCTTGTTTTGGACTTGAGCTTGTATTTGCAATCTGGGGGGAGATCAGTGTTGCCACACAGGACGGAGCAGATGGTGCAAGAGCTGCGGTTCCTGTGTAGAAATGTCCACTCATTGTGGCGTCTGCTCAGGAGGAACAGCAGCCAGCATCATCTGCTCTGAGATCAGACAATTCTGAGTCCATCCGACAGCAAACCAGCCCGCCGGTAGCTTGTGCCCAATCTGGTTCAGTTAGATTCCACCAGCTCCAAAATGCCTGGACTAGGGACGTCCCGATCCATCTGTCTGAAACTGATCCTGGCCTATCAGAGCATGTGTTAAAGTCTAAAGTTATTTATCTACTTCCTTAGTTGTCAGACTCCTGTTGAACAGGGATTTACTCTGATAACAACTAGCCAGCTGAATTAGGGGAGTCTGAATAACACACACTGGTTGGTAAAGAGACACTGACCTGTTTATTCAGGGAGAAACACTAAATAGGATAAAATAATCCCACTCAACTGACATTTTTACCGATAGCTTCAGATTAACATGGCCGTCTTAATGTATAGGACACAGGCCTGTGGGCTAGAGATGCTAATGCTAATGCCAATGCTTAAGGCTGTGCTGGAAAATGACTGGACCGGATATCAGGGAACAACACAGCAAAGTGGAATGGATCATTTTAATCAGACTTTAAATAAATTTGAACACTGGATCTGGAGTCTGCATAGGGGTTTTCCCCTGCCGGCCGATACGCATTTTTTAGCTAATATCTGCATCTGATCCAGATATTGGATCGGGACCAGCCTGGTCTGGGCATCCAGTGGAGTCCTGTACGTGTGGACTCCTAATAAATCCCTAGAATCTGGTCTCAGAACACCAAAACCACAAGGCTCTGTGGGCAGAGGGGAGGCAGAGGGCTGTATGAGCCGTGACCAGCCGTGGCTCAGAGCCCGTATTTACTGACACTCTGGTGTGCCACCCCCCCACACACGTTCCCCAGTACTTGTTGATCGCTCTCCACTTTGATGTGAAATATCAGCACAAAGTGCCATGTGGCGGCCGGCCTGCGCGGGCTGTGCTGCTACTCTTCACAGAGCTCTCGGAGCCATTGGAGGGCCGGTCAGAAAACTTTCACAGTGTTGCACATTCTTTTCATTGAGGAGCTTATGCTTTGTTCTCTGCAGCTCTGGCCTGCGTGATTGTCGGCATGGCGACCGTGGTGACTACCATCACCGGCCTCTCCACTTCAGCCATCGCCACAAACGGATTTGTTCGAGGAGGTATTTGAGACTTTTCTTCCCCACGGGGACTACCGGGGTCCTGTTAGAATGAGACAAGAGGAAGCAGCACTGAGGAGCATCAAGCCTTTACTTAATGTTTACCAATGAAAAACTATCACCGTCCATCTCAGGAGGGGAGTGTAAGCATCCAGCAAGAAGGAGTGTAGGGCCTCTCTGACCACTCTGTAAAAGCAGGCACCCCACCCACCTCTAACAGAAAGGACTTACAAGCAGAGAGCTTGCTGGCTAATTTGTGTCAGTTAGAGAGCACATTTCCAGCCCTAACGGATGTTTGTATCCATCTGAGATCATAAAGCGCCAGGAGATAGCCTGGACCCCATCCTGCACAAACACACATACACACGCACATACACACGCACACACACACACACACACACACACACACACACACTTGGGCTTCATGGCCCCACCACACAGCCGGGCTTATTGGCCTATACCAGGCAGTTTTTGGGCACGTTTGTTTCAGAAAACCTGAATGGAAACAAGGCCCAAAGTAGAAGTTTGAGGGCAGCCGTGCACCAGCACATAGCCCGGACCCCATCCTGCACACACACCTACACACGTACACACACACACAAACTCACACACACACACACATTTGGGCTTCAGGGACCCTCTACACAGCCAGGCTTATTGGCTTCTACCAGAGAGTTTTCTGAGGCGTTTGTCCAGAAAACCTGAATGGAAACGAGGCCAAAAGGCATGGGTTTGGGGGCAGCCATGCACCGGGTGCATGCACAGACCCTGGTGCACCGGCACATGACAGGATTCCACGTGTGTAAAGGCATACCTAGCGGAGCCCCATGGCCGTGACCTGTGGTCACATTTCCCTGAGGCCCCAGCAAACTACGCCTTGCTCTGGGCTGGGTCACAGAATCCATCTGGGTTAAACACCGGGTTGAATGAGTGGAACTGGCCTCTGGGTGGACGCGATTAGGCTGAGGACTTCTCCAGCCAGGCCGGCCAGCTCTGAGGAGCTTTTCAAGAATGTGAATGGAGGCTACAGCGGCGTAGGAGCTGCTGGCTCAGCCAGACCTGCTGGTCCAAACCGCTGATTGGCACTGTGATATACGATCTGGAGCTAAAATAAGCCCCAGTCAGACACGTGCTGGCTCGAGTGGCGGTGTTCTAACACATTAGACTCTGTTGAGAGGGCAAAGGGAGCGTTTGGCTAGTTTCCACTAATGAGGTGGAAGCCTTGTTTGGCTCACACAGACGGTTCTCAATCAATCTCATTCCCTGGAGTTAGGGCTGGGCCATATGAGAAAAGGTTATATCAAAATTTATTTTAAAGTCTGAGAAGCTTTTGTAAACTTCATGGCTTTGTGCTGCTGCTAGCTTCTACGTGTTTAGATGTGATTGTTTATTCGCGGGTCTGTGAAAACTTTATGATCTTTTTTAAGGCGTTGGCTTATCAAAGTCTAATTTATAATCGTAGAGACATTTCACATTGCAATTAAAATCGAAAAGTGGCCCAGCCCTGCCTGGAATGTGTTGTGTGTAAGGCTCATGAAGCTCCAGGGATGAAGACACATTATTTCCCTTTACAAAGTGTCAAAGGGACTAACATGTGGTCCATAAACGTCTCTTTCAGGTGGGGCGTATTACCTGATATCCAGGAGTTTGGGGCCAGAGTTTGGGGGCTCCATCGGGCTGATCTTTGCCTTCGCTAACGCGGTGGCTGTGGCCATGTATGTGGTGGGCTTCGCCGAGACGGTCGTAGAACTTCTCGATGTAAGTGGCAGCACAACCCGGCAGACCCCCGACCTAACATCTGACCCCCGACCTAGCGGCGGACCCCTGACCTAACGCCCCCTGTGCTGTCTGTCAGGGTGCAGGTGCCGTCATGACGGATGAAATCAACGATATCCGGATCATCGGGACCATCACCGTGATCCTTCTGCTGGGCATCTCGGTGGCTGGGATGGAATGGGAAGCCAAGGTGGGAATGCTGTTCCTGGTCTTCTACCCTAAAGCTGTCAGACGTGGACCTGAGGAGCTAATGGCGGTGGTTTGTTTACTGTCTTTAGGCCCAGATCTTCCTGCTCTTCGTCCTCATCACAGCCATCATCAACTACTTCATTGGATCCTTCATCCCCGTCAAATCAAAGGAGGCTTCGGGCTTCCTGGGTTATGATGGTAGGATCTGACATTGCTACCTATCTAGAGCCTTTGACTGGTAGAGTTTTGTCAGCAGCTCTCTGTTGCCCCTCTGTTGGTCATAGCGTCCATCATGTGGGAGAACATGGGGCCGGACTTTCGAGGAGAGACGTTCTTCTCTGTCTTCGCCATCTTCTTTCCTGCGGCCACCGGCATCCTGGCTGGGGCCAACATTTCTGGAGACCTTGCTGTAAGTCGGCCATAATTAGAACCAGAGAACACCAATGCCTACATACAGCCAGTACCAGGTACTGACCCAAAGTCTGGGCACACCTGCTCATTCAGAACGAGATAAGGGAAGGAAAAGTTCCAACATGTGATGGATCTGAAATTCTCTAAAGCTAATGCATATTAAATCTAGAGTGGAAATGAAGCCTTGGCAGGTCAGTGATACTGAAACAGTTTGAGATGTAGCACCAGTCTCTGACACCCAGAGGAACATGTTGAATGCGGGTTAGAGGGTGTTCAGTTTGAGATGAATCTGATCACATGACTTAATCAAAATGGCCGACTAGGATCTGGGCAGGGTTGGATATCCATCCTTGCCTGTCTAACCTCCTTTTTGCTGGTTCTCCCAGGACCCTCAGATGGCCATCCCCAAAGGCACCCTGCTGGCCATCCTGATCACAGGGATAGTCTACCTGGGCGTGGCCCTTTCCACAGGTGCTCTGAAGCCTTTAGCTGGTCTGCACCGTCCCAGCCTCAGGACATCTTCTGGAAATCACTCATCTGTGTGTGTGTGTGTTGACCCTAGGCTCGGCCATAATCAGAGACGCCAGTGGGAACGTGAACGACACCATCAGTGCTCAGTTCGCCTCAAACTGCACCGACGCCGCCTGCAAGTTCGGCTTCGACTTCTCCTCCTGCAAGAGCGATCCTCAGGGCTGCCGATACGGACTCCACAACGACTTCCAGGTGCCCCGCGCAGCAGCTTAGGCAGCAGTGAGCTGAGCTGGTGGCCGGGGGGGCTGACTGTGTCTCTCCCCTGTCCAGGTGATGAGCCTGGTCTCAGGGTTTGGGCCCATCATCTCAGCCGGGATCTTCTCTGCCACCCTGTCCTCGGCCCTGGCCTCTCTAGTGAGCGCGCCCAAGGTTTTCCAGGTAAGAACCCACCCAGTGAAACTCAGTAGCTGCTAGGGACGTCCCAATCCAGCTTTCTGATCCAATCCCGGCCTATCAGAGCCTGTACTAAAGTCTAAAGTTATTTATCTACTTCCTTAGTTGTCAGACTCATGTTGAACAGGGATTTACTCTGATAACAACTAGCCAGCTGAATTAGGGGAGTCTGAATAACACACACTTGTTGGTAAAAAGACACTGACCTGTTTATTCAGGGAGAAACACAAAATAGGATCAAATAATCCCACACAAATTATATTTTTACCGATATTTTCAGATTAACATGGCCGTCTTAACGGTTAGGACACAGACCTGTGGGCTAGGAAATGCTAATGCTAATGCTTAAGGCTGTGCTGGAAAATGACCGGACCGGATATTAGGGAACAACACAGCAAAGTGGAATGGATTATTTATATCAGTGTGCTGGAAAACACTGTATCTGGAGTCTGGATCTGTGTTTACTCCTGCCGGCCGATACGCATTTTTTTGGGAATACTGGCGGGCGATCAGATCCAGATATGGGATCAGGACCAGCCTAGTGGCTACCCGTCAGCTGACATGATGAGAAGCTAAAAGTGTGTGATGGATCCATCTCCACAGGCTCTGTGTAAGGACAACATCTACCCCGGGCTGGGGATGTTTGCCAAAGGCTACGGGAAGAACAACGAGCCCCTCCGAGGCTACATCCTGACCTTTGGGATTGCTCTGGCCTTCATCCTCATCGGTACGCTGCTCGCTCTGCTCCCTACTCCACCTCTAATGACTATTTCTGTTTGTAACAGTAGGATCAATAGAAAAGAGACAAATGAAATGCCCAGTAGACCAGGAGAGAGCAGCTCTGGTGCAGGGATGCATGCAGGGGGAAAGAAGGAGGGCTCCAATAGGGATGTGCCCATCCAGCTTTGTGATCCGATCCCAGCCTATCAGAGCATCTACTAAAGTCTAAAGTTGACTTAGTTGTCAGATTCATGTTGGTCAGGACACAGACCTGTGGGTTACAGATGCTAATGCTAATGCTCATGTGGGATCGGGCTTTTAAAAAACTGGATCTGGAGTCTGGATCTGTGTTTTCTCCTGGTCGATACGATCCAGATATCATATCGGGGCCAGCCTAGTCTCCTTAGATTGAGAAAATACATTTTTGAAGCTAGCTTTTAGGCCAGCTCACTGATCAACTTGAGGCATTGATTTGAATGTTTTTAAAGAAAACACACTGAAAACAGAGTGGAGATTTTATTATTGGAGATGGATTATAAAGACTCTCCAGAAACAGAATGGGGCTAAAGCAGCTGCCTGGGGGGGGCCATTCCCAGTCCAGATTGAGGCTCTGACTGTGTGCTCTCTCCCCTGCAGCCGAGCTGAACACCATCGCACCCATCATCTCCAACTTCTTCCTGGCCTCCTACGCCCTCATCAACTTCTCAGTGTTCCACGCTTCGCTGGCCAACTCCCCAGGTAAGACCCAGCCTCAGAAAACAGGCCTGAGACCAGGCCCCCCGGCTGTCCGAGGCCACTTAGAGCTCCTCACAGCTCTGGAGAAAAGAACAGGACAAAGGCTTAAAGTCAGAACTGAATCCGGAGCACAGGTCACTCTCAGTTCTTCTGCTGGCCCCGGAGGACCTTCAGCCTGATTTTGATTTAGATTTGAAACGACCTGGAAGCTCCCACCATAAAGGAGAGACCACTACTGAGTAGCCTTATGGGATCAGCCCCCCCGGGGGGGCGGTGGTTTGCCTGTTTCTGGGTGTTAGCCCTGTTAGCTCATCATGCATGGCTGCAGCTTTAAGGGTTAGGGTTTAGGTTTTAAGGGTTAGGGCTGGTGTTCTGTGAGAGTTCACCTCCTCTGACAGGAAACAGACCCAGATATCTAAACAGTGACGGAGAACATCTCCGTTTAAAGTCTCATTGATTTTGGTGACACTTGAAGTTCAAAGTTCGGCTTTTGCATTGAGTTGTGTGTTTCTGTCTTCCCTTTGAAACCAAACCTCTGGCAGAACTGCAGGTACAGCCATACGGACTGAATACGGACTGAATGGTACCCGACTCGGTCAGAAACAGGCCGTCTCTGTAACGCTCCATCCATCACTAAAGCCCACTCCTCTAGTCTCTGTGGTCAATAAATGTGCTAGCCGGTAGAAGTCGCCGTGCTTCTAACCTCCATACTTTAACCCAGCTCCAGTTTTAACCCCTCCATGCCCGTTAACAGTTTACCGTCCTGTGAGCCGTGTTTCCAGAGGAGTGGGGAACCGTCTCCTCACCTCTAGATTTCCGACTCCAGCCTTAATAAACCCAGCTTTAACAGGAAGTGTACCGTGTGAGGCTAGCCCCCCCTGTGTGTGGCCCCAGCTGCAGCCCTCCGGGCCCTCTGGGCCCTCTGGGGCCTCTGGGGACTGACTCTCCTGGTGCTGCAGGTTGGAGGCCCAGCTTCAAGTACTACAACATGTGGGTGTCTCTGGCCGGAGCCATCCTGTGCTGCGTGGTGATGTTTGTCATCAACTGGGCCGCAGCCCTGCTCACCAACGTCATCGTCATGGGCCTCTACATCTACGTCAGCTACAAGAAGCCGGGTGAGTGGCACCAGGAACGGGTATACCTCAAAGCTTCAGCCTCACTAGCATCTGAAAACAGCCGGTGACTGGAAACTTGTCAGGTGTGTTTTCTGTCTGTTGCTCTCTATGAGAGCTGGAACAGGCCTGGAAAATGGACGCATGGTCCAGTGGTAGTTTTCAGGGTCATATCTTTGTCTACCCTTCGGAAGAGGGTTGTTTATATAGTGAATATAATAATGGAGGTGAATCCACCACTGTGTACGGGTACCCAGCTTTCTTTTACTTTCTAAAGCCTCGGGGGTCTGGTGTTTTAATGGGGATGTGAAGCTGTCTGAAGCTTGGTGTCCTCATCAGAGAGCCGCTGGCCGCATATATTCTAAATCTAGATTCTGTCTAAAGGACTCAGAGTGTTCTGGGTCTGTGGGAACAGGTCCATGTTTCTAGTAGAACTCCTGGTTTGGTCTGGTAAAGCTTTTATTTTCTGGAGTCTCTTCTTTGGGCCTTTTCCCTTCTAAAGAAACTTTCCAAACACCTCTGTTTTTACTCCTTTTTCTAACTTGTGGGGTAAATTTTGGGCGCTAGGGGGGAACCCAGAGGATCCGGACATTTTTCAAAATAAAAGATTTTATGAAGTAAAAGATTATTCAGACTAGGAGAATAAATACAACAGAAACAACTCATTATTACTATTTTACTTTATTGATCTTTTTTATTATTATTTGTAATATTATTTCATTATTAGTCGGTCTGCAGACTCGGCCTAGTAAAATCCTTATAGATGGTTAACTTTTATAGGTCATCTCTTGGAGATGATGCTTTCATTGTGAAGAGGGAGGCCAGTAGGAAGCAGATACCTGTGAGCAGGCAGTGTTGGCTGATTGTTGGTTTGCTGGTGTTCTGTGGTGAGGCTGCCCCTGTAGTGGAGTGGTGCTAATGTTGTGGCTGGTTGTTCTGCACCTGTGCAGCCAGCAGAGCAAAAGTAGAGCAGAGCACTCCACAAACAACCCGGCTAACTCCCCCGTGTCTCCGTCCAGATGTGAACTGGGGCTCGTCCACCCAGGCCCTGACCTACCACCAGGCCCTGACCCACACGCTGCACCTCAGTGGGGTGGAGGACCACATCAAGAACTTCAGGTACCACACATCAGCCACAATCAGAAATTATTCATCAGAAATTAATGATCCCAGAGGGAAATTATATTTCGTTACATACTCCAGATATGCAAAAACAGCATATATATGTATATGTGTGTCATTTCCTGTTTTATTTTGAAAGGTACATCCCCTGTGTGTCACCTGAGTGTCCTGTTCCTTGATTGGTTCCCCTAGGGTTCCCCTCATGTGTTAAATAGTCTGGTCTCTCCTTGTTTGATTCTTATTTGGTGCTTTTCATAGCCTCTTTTTGCTAGCAAAGCCCACGTACAATAGCCCAGAGATGGAGGCTAATCGGGTGGCGTTTGCTTTTATTTAGTATTTCCTCCGTATGTAATCAGACCCTGAGTGCCTGCGCAGAGCTTATTAGTGAGCGTGTCTGTTCCCATGGCTCCGGTCCAGCCGGAGGACGAGGATTACAGGCCTCTGAGGGCTCTGCTGGAGGCCCGTGCTCCTCTGAGCTCCCCCTCTGTCTCCTCCATCACTTCCATTAAATCCCTGATGTGGAGATGTTGGCTTTGATGTGCGCTACTCTACCTGAGTGTGTGTGTCTCTGTGTGTCTCTGTGTGTATCTGAGTGTCTCTGAGTGTGTGTGTGTGTGTCTGTGTGTGTCTCATCCCTTCTCCTCCTGGATCTCTCCGTCCAGGCCCCAGTGTCTGGTGATGACCGGCTACCCGAACTCCCGTCCTGCCCTCCTGGACCTGGTCCATTCCTTCACCAAGAATGTGGGGCTGCTGATCTGTGGCCACGTCCGCACGGTGAGCTGAACCAGACTCACTAACTAACTAACTAACTAACTAACTAACTAACTAACTAACTAACTAACTAACTAACTAACTAACTAACTAACTAACTAACTAACTAACTAACTAACTAACTCATTTCCTAAATCATTATGATGTAGCTTTGGAGGTGAGAGCATCTGAAGGTTTGAGGAAAAGCCTTCATTAATAAATAATAATGAATAAATGCCTCATCCCGTCTCTGTATCTGTTCATGTTGGAGATCAGGGGGTCCAAACAGTGTAAACATTCATTGAATAGACTAAATATTTATCTTTTTAACCATTCATATGAATCAAAATACAGGATATCATTCCAAAATAAATGCAATTAAAAGTAAAATTAACCGATATGTTGCTCTTCATTAAAAAAATCCTGTCAATAGTATATACATCCAAAATCTGTACATGCTGGAATATAAACAATCTGAAAATATGAATAAAAACTGTCATTTAAAGTCAAATAATAAAATGACATTTTCTTGTCCTATTTCGGTCAGACTGCATTCGCACTGCCCCATGGGATGTGTAGTGTGTGTTATTGGGTTAGCCCTCTCTCTCCCTCCCCCCCCTCCTCACTGTTCCTCCTCCAGGTTTGTTCCCCCTAAAGGCAGTTGTTTCCTCCCTGTGTCTCCTAGTGCTGCTCTTGGTGGAACTGTAGTTCTTCTGGAAATAACTCAGAGTGTGAGCTGCTCTGGTTAAAGCTGGGAGATTCCTGCTGTTGTTGTTGGGATCTGGATCTACAGAGATAAAACTAAACTGAATATCTAAAATCACCCTGCTGACTGGTGTTTTGTCTCCAGCAGGGCTACAGGAGACCAAACTTTAAGGACCTGGCCACTGACCAGTCCCGCTTCCAGCGCTGGCTGCTGAAGTACGAGACCAAGGCCTTCTACACGCCCGTGTTCGCTGAGGACCTGAGGCAGGGCTCCCAGTACCTGCTGCAGGTGGGCTGGGAGGGGGTTCCTTCAGGAAGGGGGCGGGGCCAGCCTTTGGAAGGGACTGTGCCAGCTTCTACTTTAGTCCTTTATAGCCTGATCCAAGAAAAATAGGAAGAATATTGGATTTTTTTAGTCTGAAGTCTTTTTTTGGCCCCTCAACAACATATGAAGAAAAAAAACAGAAATGATTTTGATCAAATTAGCGTGCAATAAGTCAGAAATCTATGTTGGTGTAGTCTTCTACTGGCTGTTATCAGGTATATCTGAATGTGTACAACAGGGGTTTGAGCAAAGCTTTTACCACTGAATGATGCAGAAAGTCTCAGATCCAAAAGAAACCGGATCAGATATGACACATCTGGCATTATAGGGTGGTGTCAGGTAGGGGGCGGGGCCAGCCTCTGGAAGGGGCCGGGGCCAGCTTGTGTTTTGGGGCGGGGCTAGCCTCTGGAAGGGGGATTGTGTGTGATGGCTCTGTCCCTCCTCAGGCCGCTGGTCTGGGTCGCCTAAAGCCCAACACGCTGGTTCTGGGCTTCAAGAATGACTGGAGGGACGGAGACATGATGAACGTGGAGACTTACATCAGTATGATCCAGTAAGTCATGCTGCTTCAGACCCTAACCCATAACCCCTACCATAACCCAAACCCTACCCCCAACCCATAACCCCTACCAATAACCCCTACCAATAACCCAAACCCTACCCCCCAACCCATAACCCCTAACCCATAACCCCAACCATAACCCCTACCAATAACCCAAACCCTACCCCCAACCCATAACCCCTACCAATAACCCCTACCCATAACCCCTACCCGTAACCCCTAACCATAACCCTACCCATAACCCATTACCCATAACCCCTACCCATAATCCATTACCCCTACCCAT